GAAAAATACATAAAAATATTGAGAAAGTTATAAAAAACATTATTTAAATATCTTTATCAATAGGATAGGGTAGGTTAGGTTATCGGGTTTTGTTCAAGTGACCACCCCTTTCGATCCCCCACCTCCACCCGCTTGAAAATAATTTTTTTATTGAATTTTATTTGAATTATAGTGTATGAAAATTGTCAAAATAACCAACTTTCAACCCCCATAACTTTTTATAGGGGTGCGACCGCCGCAAACTTTTTTGGGGTTTTACTCAGGTGACCACCCTCTTTTGATCCCCGTACCCCCACCCCCATCTAACCCCCATAACTTTTTATGGGGTTGAGACCGCCACGAACTTTTTATGGTACAGTAGTGGGGGAGACCTCCTCTTTCGATCCCACCCACCAGCACCCACTTCGGGGGTGGGGGCCATCATCTAGACATTTACCCTGTTCGCAAATAGTTAAGGATGTGGGATGTTCCAGTTTTAGAGAAATGCGAAGATTAGCTCAGGATAGGAATGAGTGGATGTGCGTGTCCAACCAGTCTGAGTAGGTACTGACGACCTTATGGTGATGATACCTGTTAAAAATTTCATTAACAAATAAACTTTTCGTTGCGATGAATCGTTCGGTGGGAACAATTGACGATAGTCACCATGACAGTGCTGGTATTAGGGCATCAGTTGTTAAAAAATTAGTCCAAAAAGGCATAAGATTATTAAAAAATAAAAAGAAACTTAAAAAAAAATATATTTTTTTGTTGTTAATTTTATGCAATAACTTATAACAAGAATTATTCTGTTTTACAATTCTTTAGACAAATTTAATATTAAAGTAAAGCTTCTTAATCATTGCAGCTACAAAGGGATCGATTGTAGGTGGTATAAAGATAAATTAAATCGCAGGATTATTTATCTTTTACAAATAATCAGTAAAAGCTACTTGACCGTTTATTAACATTCTTCTGAAGTAGTCATTACAAAGCATTTTTTCTTCATTTGTGAAGTACTGTCTAATTAGGTGTATAGTATTATCATTTCTGTATGCGATAACTTTTAAACTAAACACTTCAACTGCATCGTTTTATGTAGGTACGCAATTAACGTTAAATGGTTTTGTACACTGAAATAAAATTCAACGATTTGCCATAAAAAACAATAAGAAATCAAGGCTATTAGATAAGATATTTTTTTGAAAAGTGCACCACCCCTAATTTTATTTTTTTCAAGTCAAGGGATTAAATATTATACAGTAGTATTATATTAATTACATTGTATCAATGGCCTAAGGCAAAATGTATTTGCGGAACAAGCAACAACAATTTTCAATGACCTTGAAAAGAGGTATAATAAAAATCGTAATCCCCACCATTTGATGAATATTCGCTGGTTATTTATACTGCGTTCGTCGATCTATCCATGCAGTGTAATTAGTAAAATTGCAATCATGAGTCGTTGGGTGGGAAAAGTCGCTGTTGTTACTGGGGCTAGTGCTGGAATTGGGGCTGCAATAGTCGAANTTCAATTGGGTTAAGAAAAATCTGGGGCCAATACATATCTACAAAGCTCCTACAATCTTTTTTCTACTACATATATTTATCATCAAAACGCAAGTCACGCAGATTACAGATTTGTATAAACAAAATGATTATTTTATTTACATGCATCCGTTTATGTGAAGACCTTCAAATTTCACAGTTATTATTATTATTATTATCTCCCACTATATACATAAGTATTAACTGTTTCTGTATATTATGTTATTTACTCTCAAATACTACAGTAATAACGCGGTGTTCGTTGGTGAAAATGGATCGTTGGGTAGAAAAAGTAGCCGTCGTAACTGGAGCCAGTGCTGGAATAGGGGCGGCAATAGCCGAAGCACTAGTCAAAGAAGGTCTAATTGTAAGTAAAACGGATTTTAAAGTGCATGAGTTTACATATAAAAATCGATAGGTCGCTGGATTTGCTAGAAGAACAGACAGAGTCGAAAAACTAGCTAAAAAATTACAAGACGCTAATGCTAAGGGAAAACTGCATGCGGTCAAAGTGGACATGACGAAGGAAAACGAAATAATCGACGGGTTCAATTGGGTTAAAAAAAATCTGGGGCCAATACACGTCCTTGTAAATAATGCAGGGGTTGCGAGATTCGATGCATTAATCGATAGTGATACACAGAAATGGAGGGACATATTTGACACGAACGTGATAGGATTGAGTATAGCAACAAGGGAAGCTGTTAAAGACATGAGAGCTAACAATGTAGACGGTCATATCATTCACATTAACAGTATTGTGGGTCATCAGGTGTTAAACTTTCCTAGCGCTAACGCTTATCCTGCCAGCAAGTTTGCTGTAACATAGTGGGATAAATTGTAAATATCGCTTTAATATTGAGGTACATAAATAAACTTATGTAACTATTGTATGAATCATAACAGATTATGTAAAAAAAGTGCTAGTCATGCCGGATACATTTTTATCATTTCCATGCGACACTGAAATCCAAATAGGATCGATTTAATGCGATATGCTTCATATCAACACTTAAGTCCCCACCATTTAATTTTAAGTAATAGTTTATATATATATATATATATATATATATTG